CGGGGGGCCTCCCGAGGGGGGTCCGAGTGCAGTCGGGGCGCTGGGCCTAAGGAACGATCGATAAATACTCCAGATTGCGTAGTAAAAGGGAGGGGGGTCTCATTTCGGGGGGGGTCTCTTCCAGGCTATCTGGCGGCGGCGGGGGAGGCGGGAGGCCTCCCGAGGGGGTCCGAGTGCAGTCGGGGCGTGGGGCCTAAGGAACGATAAATACTCCAGATTTCGTAATCAACGGCAGATTTCGTGTCCGCTCCCGATCGACGGCAGAATCTATGTACGCCAAAGCTGGTCGTCACGCCGAATCTTCAGCAACGAGACGTGGATTATTTTCGTAAATCTGCGAAGGTTCGACGGATGTTCCGTGGATTCGCCAGGAAAAAACGATTTGGGGGTAGATCAGCTCTGTGGTCGATCCCCTTACACGAAGGGGGCGTCCCTGATGACCTGCCGACCCTGCCCAAGCCGAGGGGCCGGTGCGAACAGGTGTTCAGCCGAGGAAAAGGTACCGATACCGCTACTCCAGATGTCGTAATCAAAGGGAGGGGGTCTGGACCCTCCGAGACAGGCCACTTCAGACCCCCCCCCCCGTGGGAGAACCCTCCAAAGCATCGTCCCCAGACCCCCCCGGGCCCTCCAAGATGGCCTGGAAGAGAGCCCCCCCCGAAATGAGACCCCCCTCCCTTTATTACGAAATCTGGAGTACAGTCGGGGCGCTGGCCTGAGGAACGATAAATAAGGAACGAGGCCCCAATTTTGCATAAGTGAAACTTCGATCTCCCATCGAAAAACTCAGGAAGCCTAAGACAAACTAGAGAGCAATCCAGAAACACTCGGCCCCTCCACAACGAAAAGGTTTCCTTCTTCAGCGCCCCGACTGTAGGTTGGGTCGGAAGATCGCGCCGCATCGCCAGGAAAGCCAAGAGCACAGGGACAAAGCACGATGTGTTCTACGACGCGCCTAGCTCGTCGAGGCGCACCATCTTGCCCGTGTGGGCTGCAGGCCACATTGAGATCACCTTGAAACTGCAGCGACATCGCTTGGAACCGTGGTGGGCCGTCGCTTACATCGCCGATGCATCGGCGACGCATCGGCAGTGCGTCGGCGGTTCATCGGCGACGCCAGCGCGGCGGAGAGCATCGGGCCCCACAGCGAGCCGCACCGCCAGTGCATCGGCGAGGCGGCGCGATCCGTCGACCCCGCCTGCTCCTCGCCATCGCTCGGGCGCCCCTTCCCCCCGGCATGCCTCGGCCCCGCGCGCCCATGCTCCTCGACGGCCCCATACGAGGAAGGGTGCACACTCCCCGAGCGATGCCAGGACTCGGAGCCCACCTGGGAGGCCTGGAGGATGGCAGTCGGGGGGGGGGGGGGGCAGGTCGGGCAGGTCCCCCTACAGGGGGACCTTGGAGGAAAAATCACCCATAAAAAATACTCGACACAAAAGCCAGCAATTGACAAGAAAGAGTCCGAATAGCCAACAGCGGCCGAAACATCCCAAAAACTACCTCGGACGATGTCGGGCATGTCCCCCTACGGGGGGACCTTGGAGGAAAAATCACCCAACAAATACTCGACACAAAAACCAAGGATTGACAAACAGAGTCCGAATAGCCAACAGCGGTCGAAACATTCCCAAAAACTGCCTCTGACGAGGTCGGGCATGTCCCCCTACGGGGGGACGTTGGAGGAAAAATCACCCATAAAAAATACTCGACACAGAAACCAACAATTGACGAACAGAGTCCGAATAGCCAACAGCGGTCGAAACATCCCCAAAAACTACCTCTGACGATGTCGGGCATGTCCCCCTACGGGGGGACGTTGGAGGAAAAATCACCCATAAAAAATACTCGACACAAAAGCCAACAATTGACAAGAAATAGTCCGAATAGCCAACAGCGGCCGAAACATCCCAAAAACTACCTCTGACGATGTCGGGCATGTCCCCCTACGGGGGGACGTTGGAGGAAAAATCACCCAACAAATACTCGACACAAAAACCAAGGATTGACAAACAGAGTCCGAATAGCCAACAGCGGTCGAAACATTCCCAAAAACTGCCTTTGACGCTGCCGGGCATGTCCCCCTACGGGGGGACGTTGGAGGAAACATCACCCCCAAAAAATACTCGACACAAAAGCCAACAATTGACAAGAAATAGTCCGAATAGCCAACAGCGGCCGAAACATCCCAAAAACTACCTTGGACGATGTCGGGCATGTCCCCCTACGGGGGGACGTTGGAGGAAAAATCACCCAACAAATACTCGACACAAAAACCAAGGATTGACAAACAGAGTCCGAAGAGCCAACAGCGGCCGAAACATCCCCAAAAACTACCTCTGACGAGGTCGGGCATGTCCCCCTACGGAGGGACGTTGGAGGAAAAGTCACCCATAAAAAATACTCGACACAAAAGCCAAGAATTGACGAGAAATAGCCCGAATAGCCAACAGCGGTCGAAACATCCCCAAAAACTAGGGCGAAGAGAACTATGCACATGCACCGATCCTGGTAAGGCCCATCCTTGACCCTGGATCGGCGCATATGCTTTCCTGGCCAGTGTAGGAGGGCGTATGCACCGATCCTGGGCTCAGGATGGGCCTGGCCAGAATCGGTGTATGTGCATAGTTCTTTTTCCTCTACGGGGGGACGTTGGAGGAAAAATCACCCCAAAAATACTCGACACGAAAACCAACAATTGACAAGAAATAATCCGAATAGCCAACAGCGGTCGAAACATCCCCAAAAACTACCTCTGACGATGTTAGGGTACTCCTCCTGCAGAGGGACGCGCCCGCCTCACGGGCGGGCGGCCGCCTCGGGGGCGAGGGGGCGGGGCGCCCGCGGCGCCTCGAGGGCGCGGGGGCGGGCAGCCGGAGGCCAGGACGGCCCCCGTCCCAGGCTCCGTGGGGCTCCGTCGCCGTCACCGTCGCCGTCGCCGTTGCCGCCGCCGCCGTCGTCGTCGTCGTCGACCGCCGCCGTCGTCGTCGCCGCCGTCGCCGCCGCCGCCGCCGCCGCCGCCGCCGTCGTCGTCGCCGTCGTCGCCGCCGTCGTCGTCGTCGTCGTCGTCGGCGTCGGCTCCGTGGGGCTTTCCAGAGAACCAGGACTCAGGGGCGCAACCCTGGGATAACTATACGAGGGGAGGGGGCGCCCCTCCTCAACGCGGGGTGCGTCCCAAAAGCCCCCCCCCCCCTTCGGGTGTATCCCAGGGGGCTCCCCTCCCCTTTGTCTCTCAGCCGCTGCCTCTTCCGTCGAGCAGTCGGGGGGCGGGATGGAAACATCGCGGGGCGAGCCGGCCGCGAGCCGGCGCCGAGCCCGGGGCGCCGACGGCCCCTATGGCCACGGGCAGAACCGCGACGGATCAGGCCAGCTTCGCGGTGCTCGGCCCCTGGGGGCCCTTGCCGGGCCTCGGGGCCGTCACAAAAGCGACGCCGGAGGAGAAACCGGTGCAGGGGAACGGGTCGAGCCCTTGGCGGTGGACGATATTTGAAATTGAAAGAAAAGCAAACAGCATGTTTACTAAACAGCACCAAAAAACGACAACAAACAGCAACAACAACAAACAACGACAACAACAACAACAACAACAATAACAACAACCAACAACCAACAACAACAACAATAAACAATAAACAACAAACAACAAACAACAACGAACAACGAACAACGAACAACAAACAACAAACAACAAACAACAAACAACAAACAACAAACAACAAACAACAAACAACAAACAACAAACAACAACAACAACAACAACAACGAAGACAAAAACGAAAACGACAACGACAACGACAACGACAACGACAACGACAATGACAACACCAACAACAACAACAACAACGACAACGACAACAACAACGACAATGACAACGACAACAACAACGACAATGACAACAACAACAACGACAACAACAACAACAACAACCACACCAACAACAAAAACAAAGACAACGACAACGACAGCGACAACGACAACAACAACAGCAAACACAACAACAAAAACAAGAACAAGAACAACAACATCAATCATTATAATAATGTTCGCTCTGACTTGCCCGTGTGTCATTCAAAACGGGATTTCTTTCTCTTTGCGGGGGGCGGCGGGCTTAGACAGGCAGGCGCACCTGAACGGGCGGACAGTCCTTCGTGGGCGTACATGTGCCCGCCATTGGAATTGGTGTGGGCCCTGCAAAAAGAGGAGGGGGGAAACAAGGGAGAGAGTGGGAGGAAGGGAGAGGGATGGACGTAGGAAGAGGGAAAACGCCAGGAGAGAGGGAGCGAAGAGGGGCGGTTGATTAGAGGCAGAGAGAGAGAGAAAAAAAAAAAGAGGTAGAGAAAGAGAGAGAGAGAGGGGAGAGAGAGAGAAAGAGAGAAAAAGAAAGAAAGAAGAAGGGAGGAGGTAGGAGAGGGGAGGGAGAAGGGAGAAGGGAGGAGGTAGGGGAGGGAGAGGGGATAGGGCAGAGAGGCAGAAGGAAAGGGAAGAGAGGAGGGAGAGAGAAGGGAAGAGAGGATGGAGGAAGGAGGAGGGAGAGAGAGGAGGAGCACGCAGGTAAGAGCGTGAACGTTCGAGGAAGTCCTAAGCGAAAGTGCCGTTCCTGAAGGAATTCTCGGGCGGGAGCCCATGACGGACAGGTCGGGCGGGTGGGACATTCAAGCGGGATGCCTGAGTATGGCAAGAGCGCGATTACCAAGTACATTGTAACGGCGTCCTTGGCGCAGCGTGTTCCTGAGCGTCGAAAGCGCGATGTCTGAATACATTGCATGGAATTCGCAGGCGAGAGCGCAACTCCTGAATAAAATGTGAAGGGCTCTCTGGCGGGAGCGGGGGTCTTGATTATAGTGCGAAGAAGTCTTGACTGAATTGCGAGGAAGTCTCAAGCGGGAGCGCCGTTCCTGTGTAAATTGTGAGGAAGTCTCAGATGGGAGCGGGGGTCCTGACTAAATTGCAAGGCGCTCACAGGCGGGGGCACCGATCCAGAGAAAATTGCGAAGAAATCTCA